TATCCACCATTATGCAATCCCCAGCAGTCTCTGATGAATTCAGATCAGATGCAAGTCATCTATCAACAGAACTCAGCATCCACATATGAACAGAAGGGATCACACCAGGTCTCTGCTGTTGGCCATGATGAAAAGTGCGCTGTAGGAGAAATAATATTCAAAGAATGAAACAATGATCTATCAGAATAGTCAACAACCAGGTGACAAGTTCAGATGTTTAACAGATCTCATGATCTTTATGAGACTGGACAGACATCAGAAGATCATTATAAATTATCCACACCCATGTAGCATGAGATTTAATCTACTACAAGCATGCCTAGAACCTGGCATAGGTGTAATATTCAAAGAATATATCCCTACAACAAGAAAATAGCACATAGATGGCAGAATAAGAAGGAACATTGGGAAAGAAATGTGAATATCTCGGGAGCCAGTAGACTTTTGACTGTAATCTTTTTACCATCTGAAAGGACTGTTTCTAAACTTTATCCACGGTTTTGTTTCATTCTAAAAGCTTCAAAACTGACGGAGATATCGCTCAAACGGCGAAACACCTTATAATTCATATATATTTATTTGCTAATTCTTATAAAAAGTAATGTGACTCAAGGGAAATATATTGGCGCCCGGAAGTCTGGCGGATCAAATACCATATGACAGAGTATTCCCCGGCGCGGGCGGACAGTTTTTGATCGCATCAGAAGAGGAGAAAATGCTAAAAAGATGGATCTTGTATATTTTCCCATGATTCATCAAAACTTTTTGATTTTAAGCTCAAATAAATCGGAACAAAGGAATGATTGATGATCTGGATCTCGGATCATAAGCATAAAGTGATTCAGAAGTCCGCGGATCAGTTAATTAATTGGGAAAGCTCTAGAACATTGGTAATGATGCAGCTTCACAAAAAGGGGTGAATTAGAGAACAGTCTAGAAAGTTCCTTTATAGCTGAGTCATTTCTAAAGATAACCGTTCGTAATTAAGGCGGTGTAGAGCATAGCTTTAGCGCTACAAGACTCTGCTAAGATCGGCCCATAAGACAAATAACTGAATTACTTATTGCTGAGTCATGTCCTAAGTCCATTATTAAGCTTACACAGCCCAAGCCCCTATATCATTCTAGAACTATCTATAATACAAATGTAGCACATGTAACTAGTGCGAGGCGTGGGAGTATAGAGGCCTCTGAAAAGCATAAAAGGCCACCGCTTCGGCCCCCTCTCAAACCTCAGGTAGAAATATAAGTTTAATTCTCCTCACCAGTGGTTGGTTCATTTGCTCCAAAAGATAAAAGCAAATATTAGTTGTTAGCTAATATAAAACTAACACATCACTCTAAGCATGAGTTAGGGTCAGTTAGACACAGCTGAACAAAAGTGTCATAGTGAGAATTAGTGAGAATTTGGTGGAGGGACTTCTTAATTGAATAATCTCTCAGCAATACTTGGTTATCACACCACAGGAGAAAAGTGAGCGATCCTGAACCTGCTAGATAACTAGCACGCACTCTAAGCGATAGAAAGAGCAGTTTGGTCACTCCTGTATTGAGTAACATTTATTGCGGAATTATTTTATTAGTAGTTTTCCTTCAGTAAATTATCAGGAAAATCACGTCCTACTGAAAAGTGGTATATCTAGGTGTAATATTGACTAGAAATCATAGTAAAGTCAATATAGAATTTTATCCATAGACGATCTATACGTCAGGTGAGATCGTTGGGGGGTGTTTATTGTTGTTTAGACAGTGAACAATTATATATTTGGCAACCAAAACACGGTCAGTATGCAAATCAGCACAAACTCTAATATTGTTATTGGACATAGGAAACTGGTTACATAAGGTGATCCAGCTCCGCTCCTTCAGTGCGTTCACTCTTAATGTCGCAATCTCTGCTAGTGGAGTTCTCCTTCCATTCCAGGCCATCTTCCGTGGCAAGACCTCCACAAGTTTGCCATCAAAGAGTGTCCCAAGTTATGAGGAAGCAATGAGACTTGGCTTCATCTTCAAGGTCTCTGGAAGTGACACATACTGGGCAAACATCATGACTATGAAGTCATTTGTAACACACATCCTGGTCCCTTATTTCAACGCTAAAAAGTCACAGCTTTCTCTCGATCCACTGCAAGAGTGTGTGGCAACTGGATGTGTGGCCGGTTCATGCATCCCTCGAGTTTCGTGTCTGGATTTACGATAACTATCCTTGGATAATACTTGATTATGTTCCTGGCAGTTGTACAGGTCTCTGGCAGCCCTGCGATGTGGGTATCCAGCATCCATTGAAACAAGCTGTGAAACAGTGTCAGCAATCTGCAGCCATAAAGGAGGTTTTCTCGCAGTTGAAAAATGGGATCCACTCAAGTGATATAAAACTCGATACCAGACTTGGCATACTAAGGGACCGTGTCCCCGAGATGTTGGTTCATACGTTCCATGCTATAAATCAACAGGACAGAATTCAGAAAGTAAGTTAGAACAAATTGATGCTTCTACATGACAATGCTAACTATACCTAGGCCTTTGAGCTATGCCGTTCAGGCAACTTTAACCTATCCCACCCCAGCCTATCGAGCCACCCACTATGCCAAGTTCTTGATGAGCTTCACCAAACCATTCCTGATCTTGCAAGAGCGATCACAGCACCACGAAAGTGACCCCATGACGACAGCGGCATCCACCCATGTTCTGGTCCTGTCATACATGAGGAGGGGTTCACAGATACCCTGGAAGATGATGCTGATGTGACAGTGGAGGAGGTGTTTGAATCCGTGGCTGGTCATGTGCCCGATGGGGTTGAAGAAGTCAACAGTGGCTTACAAACTGCATGGACTTGTGCTGAAGAAGCTGAGTCCGATACTCTTGATGGGACCACTGTAGTACCTCCTACATCTAACCTTCAGAGCTGTGACCTTGGCCATGGAATGTGAGTCAGACGGGCACGCAATTTGGATGAGGAATTGGCAATTTTTCATTTCTAACCTAAATATGTACCCGAAAAATACATTTGCACAGCCACTGTGCCACCAGCGATGTGTTGCATGACACCGGTCACTCAACCTTTTGCCCAGCGTGACGTGTGACATGATGGTCAAATTGGCCGGACTGCGAGGCCAGCATGACACATGACAGGTAGTTGGTCATGTGCATACAGTATGCCTCCGAAGCCAATCAACACCAAACAGAAGATCCCAAGGCATCTTTACGATGCCAAATGACTTGAATTCCAAATGATTCCCAATCTTAACATTGAGAGTCACAACTTAGATATGGAGCCATTGGATAGAGGTTTTCCGTCCAAGCCCCAGATGGGAATAGCAGGATTCAATGTGGCACGTTTTAACTGATGTTTTTCAACGAAATCTTCGGATACTAACGAGGACTGCGAGCCACTGTCGATCATAGTTCGCATAACAAATGCTTTCATATTCGTACTCAGACTATAGCGTTACATAGCAAGTGTTGCGATACTAGCGATTCAGAACTTGAATGGGCATTGTAAGAAGGAGCAGTCCCCATAGGCATCCAAGAGCTGTTCAAAAAACGAATGTGTCAAGGATATGCCCTGGGAGCATCCTCAGATGTATGGGCTCTCACATCTGAGGGGGAACTTTTCCCGACTCGGAATCATCCAAGACAGGCTCGGTGCTCGGAATCGAGCTCAAAGTTGCGGCAATGGTGGCAGTGGGACGATTCACTGACTGACCCGAAGATTTCTTGAGACAGTTGGCAGCAAGATGGTTTGGCTGTCCACAATAGAGACAAAGATTTTCACGGCAATGATGGTCCTTTTCATCCTGACTGAGTCGAGGGTGATGAGTACCCTGAGGATTGTTACTAGAGCCTGAGGCGAACCTAGATCCACTTGTAGCAATCCTAGAACTCGTCCTGACAATGTCGATCTCCATTGGGCTAGGACCATCCAAAGCCAAGCCAAGAAGAGATGGGAGAGCAGATTCCATGAGAGTCTGAGTAGCAGGTATCATCTCCTTTCGGGCAATCATCTTAGACAGATGCAGATCAATCTCAATTGACTTAGCCATCAATACGTCCAAATTGTCAGGCACGTTAATGATCAAGTAAGCCTGGATTGTGTTGTGTAGTCCATCAAAGTAAATCGACCTATAGTCATGATCGGAATGCTGGCAGTCAACTTTGATGTGCTTGAACTCAGCAGCGTAATCGGCAGCCTTTCCAATAGTAGTATGCTTGAGAGCTCGAAGTTTGCGATGAGTGGTCTTGACATAATCCACATCTCCAAAGTGCTTCTCAAAAGCCTCTTTGAGATGCGTAAAATTGCTCAACAACGTAGCATCAGTGCGAGTAACTCCCATAAACCATTTCATTGCAGTCTCATTCTTGAGCCAAGTGCCAAAATACATAGTTTTAGTGTAATTGGTATTGAACTGGTTCGGATAAAGTGTGAAGCAGGACTCGATTTCGGTGATGTAGGAGCGAACTGTTAGACACTGGTCCGGGGTCGGCACCGAGGGTTGCCGTTGTGGGCCGCTATAGGCCATGATGGCCATGATGCCGCAAACAAGGCCCAAGGGTAGGGCATTTGGCCTCAGCGACTCTAAAGGAGCGCTGTGCCCCCTAGCTGTCTCTTGGCCCTCATTTCAGACTCACTGGGGTTGCCTTGCTGGGGTCAGGACTTGGGGAGTCGTGGTCAAACCGATATTAGAGCTAAGGTACAATAAAGTAACATACAGGATATATATAGGGAGAAAGAATGAATGGAAGCGGACCCAGGCTGAAGGCCGAAGGGTCCGGAAGCAAAAGAGTGGGTTGGCCACACAGTGGCCGGCAATGACTGAGGGTCAAAACAAACAATAACAGATAAATAAAGGAAGGAGCGTAGGGCCACGATAGCAGCGATGGTATCGTAGCAGCGCTGGACTCGGAGTTGGGCCGGAGTCGGGCACAGGAATGGTAGCGGCCCTGTAGGGGCCAAGTGGGTGGGGTAGAGGAGTCACGCTGGGCATGGTGCCGGAGGCGGACTCAGGGCGGGAAGGTTGGTGTGGCAGTGGGGGAGTCAGCCAGGTGCAGGGGAGCCTAGGGGCAAGTGGGGGAGTGAGCAGGGAGTCCTCATGGAGGATAGGGCTGAGGTCAGGGCTCGCGCTCACACTTGTGTAGTGGGAATGGGCTCGGGCGGCATCGGGATGGGCAGCTAATGGGCTGGAATGCATGGCCGTGACACGAACACCAGAAGGTTTGCCAGTAAAAGCTGTAGGATTGGGGAACTTGATGGTAGGATTAGAAGTCGTCACCACCACAGGGACAGGAGCTGGAGCAGGCATTACATTCTGAAGTTGCATCTGAACCATGTTCATCAAAGTCTGTTGATCTTGTTGCTGTGCCTGGATTGCAGTCATCAGATCCTGATGCTGAACCATCTGCTGCTGTAACAAGTTCAGCAAGACTTCCAAATTGAGCACAGTAGGGTCTTGATTGCTAGGACCAGGAGTAGAGCTTGCAGACATAATTTGATCCGAGAAAGACATAACCTGTTCCGGAAGTTGTGTGTTTTGGAACTGGTCAAACTGTCACAAACCTCTCGGTGCTAAGAGCGTGAGAATGGAGCGGAACGGAGCGAGAGTTGTGAGATCATGAGAAGCAAGGTCATGAGCAAGAAGATCACGAGCCACACAAGTCACAAGATCACAAGAAGTCAATTCAGGTTGGCAACCTGTGTTGACCAGTTGAAGAATCCGTCTTCACTGGTCAACTCCTTATATACATGAAAACAGGCTAACACATGCGAGATGAAACAAGAGAGACATCTGAGTCATACAGGTAGTCGCAAAGCTACATGAATTGGGACAGAACTGAAATAGGCAAGACACGTGAGAGGAAGACATGTGAGACATCCGTCAAGTCGACACGTGAGATGTCCATCAAGTCCATTCGGGGTTACGGCTAAACCATAACAGTTGTCAGTGAGAACCCCGGATCGCAACTTGAGTTTAAGATGATCTTCAGTCTGTTAGAATGTGCGGATTCGGACGACTCCAGGGTGGAATCGGAGACTTAGCATGGAAGGACCTCGGCCTCAGCGACTCAGGTGGAGCACTGTGCCATTGCTGGTTGTCCTGGGGGTCCCTAATTATGGATCTAGCAGAGGGAAAGTCTCTTGGGGGAATTCAAGTCGATTTCGGACTGAGGTTACAAGTTACTATGTACATTGTATATAAGGAGGGGTCCGGAATCAAAAGGAGCGAGGGTACTCCGAAAGGAGACAAAGGGAGCTGAAAGGAGGGACAACACCGAGGGTCAAGGGTTTGACTCAATGGTGTTTCCCAATGGAGGAATGAAGGGCCAAGGCCCAAGGAGGAAGGAAGGAGGATGGGAGTGGGGAATGGCCAGCTGACTGAATAGAAAGGAAGCAGCAGCCCAAATAGGAATGAGGGAGTATAGCGGAATTGAATGGAACAATGCAATAGTTGCAAGGTCCGACATAAGTCCGAAAGTCCAAACTCGGAAGTTAAACTCCGGAATATTGGCAAATGTAATTAAATGGAATGAGCTAACCAATACAATGGGTATAAGCAGAGGTGGGGTCAAAGTCCGAGGTCGGAGCTAAGACCGGAGGTTCCGGAGACAGAGATGCGAAACGGGATTCCGGAGCGGAGGTCCGGAGTCAGGGGCATAGGTGTTGTGTGCTCGTCTGGGAGGTGTCGAGGTTGAGGTCGGACCCGGACTGGAGTCGGACCGAAGGTGGTGTTGGAGCCGGAGGTGGGATAACCTCTTGGAAGTCAGCAAGGAGGAGGTGGCAGAAGGGAAGTAGGGCTCTGTAATCAGTTTCGGAGTTCTGGGAGCCCGGAGCAGAGGTCGGGATTGTATGGATATGACATGGTCCACCGATGGGCGGAAGAAAAGCTGAAGTGGGACACACTGTACAATGCGAGAATATCTGGGAACTTAAGTATGGACAAGTTGTTAGTCCGGATGGTGCAAGCACAAAGGCAGCAAGCGCTCAGGGTTGCGAGGCGAAGAATCGGGCAGGCGGACTCGAGAATCTAGCTCTGATGATTCGGCTGGGTTCCCCGATTCAGGACAAGATGAGGGAAATGACCATCGAGCGGAGTGCGTGTGGAATTGGAGGTTCCCTGGGGGTGGTCTGCCCTGGTCCAACTCGGGAGTGTTGCCTCTACACAGCTCAGAAGGCGCACCACCTCAGAAATGTCTACGATGCAATTAACATCAAATGCACTATCCGAAACCTTCAAGCATGGGGTGGACAACTGAACTTTCCCCCCCTCTTCTTTGGACATTCTTGCTAATTGATTGCTTGGCTTTGGGTCTCTCATTGGAGGGAAACACATGAGAACAATGTGGTACTATGTCCTTGCTGATAGGATTGAAGTGTCCGTCTGTCAGTAAAACTAAACTTACCAATTCAATGCAGTGGGCTTATGTGTGCTGTTTTTATAGTCAAATCTTGGTCGATTGTCCTAATTCTTGGTTTAATATTTGCTATAAATTCCCCCGAGAATTCCGTCTCGTTGATGCTAAGCTTGAAGTATTTTTGCTAATTTTCTTTCTTCCATTTTATCGTATGTAGTTGTAATAATTCGTAAAATCTCGTCAAAATTCGTTAAAATTCAGGTCCTTCTATTTTCTCATATCTACTTGTTGTATGGGGTTTTGTGATTTATCTGGCATATTTCCATAATGGGTTTCCATAGTGTGACCGTTATTTCTCCTACAACGTCCACACGGCCAAGTTCCCCAGCGCCCTCTTGCAGATCCTCTTCATACTCTCCTATATGAAGGGAGGGACTGCAGGAGCATGGGCCATGCAACACACCATCACATTGCTGATGGCTGGCTCGCCTGCACTCACCATGGACAAGTTCAACACGGAACTCGATGCCATGTTCCAGGATCCAAACCGGGAAGCCACAGCCCGGCAGAAACTGGTGAACATCTGACAGGGGAGTGACTCTGTGGATAAGGTTATCCATGAGTTTGAAATATTGGGACCCGCCTTGCAGCTGGGTGACGTTGGGCTAGTTGACTGCTTCAAGCAAGCAATCAAGGCCCGGCTCCACGAGAGCATTTACCACCTCCGTCCCATTCCCACCACCTGGGCTGAATGGAAATGTGAGGCCACCCTCCTCGATAACCAATGGTGATGTTTCCAGGCAATGCAGCCCTGCACACCGCCATCCAGGCCCCCACTCCCACTAGGACAACCCCTACCAACTACCACCCCCTCTCACGCACGTTGTAGGAGAAATAACGGTCACGCTATGGAAACCCATTATGGAAATATGCCAGATAAATCACAAACCTCATACAACAAGTAGATATGAGAAAACAGAAGGACGAATATTTACGAATTTTTACGAATTATTATGACTATACACGATAAATTGAAAGAAAGAAAAATAGCAAAAATACTTCAAGCTTACCATCAACGAGACGGAATTTCCGGGGGAATTTATAGCAAATATTAAAACAAGAATTAGGACAATTGACCAAGATTTGACTATAAAAACAATCAGAGAACCTCCACGGAAACTACTTTCCCACGTCCGCACATGTAGCCAAGGATGGAAGTACCACGGAACAAGGATTCCTCAGGAACTAATGCAAAATTCAAAGTCGTGTTTATAATAGGAAATGTAGATGTCCCCCAAACGGACCCAATGAGAGTAATTACAGGGGAAACTACCCATAAACGACGGAGATATGACTAAAACTCCTGCAAAACAAGGACAATATCTAAAAGGCAAGCGCGAAAATTAACCAGTAACGACCGAGACAAGCTTGATAAGCCATTAAAAGGAAGGGATGTAATCTTAATTCTCCCAAATTTTCATAATAAAAGGATCATGCATTAATGAGATATCCAATAATGGGAATAGCGACATCAAAAGTCCGAGCTCAGAGAAAAGACGATGTTTGCGTAGGATCCATAATTAAAACATACAACGAAATTTACACGGAAATTATTAAAAATGGGGAACTATAGTTATGCAAATTTTCAGCCCAAACAGTCCAGCCGTTGTGAAGTTATACCCATGACGGGAATATAGAAATCCGCATCATGTGTAATGACACGTGAGGGTGGCGATGCGCAGGGAACTGGCCGTCGGAACCGAGATCCGCACTTCGGCAGATCGCGAAGACCAATTTCCGTCCAAATAAGGAAGAGCCCGGTCAAAACAAAGCACGGAAAGTGCAAAACAACCTTAGATCATGAGGGAAAAATCTGAAATAAATCACAGAAGCCCATATGAAAGAAATAAAAACCCGTGCATATCATAAATCCCAAACAATTAAACGGAAACGGCGCCCGCATACGAACGACTATGGGAATGATGCACATGATTACCGAATGTGCACACGAACTTTTGCTAACTCAACGAATACCAGGAAATAGGACACAACCTTAGTACCAGTGGAAAGGTGGGAATAAATGAAAATTTATGATACCAAGAACGTGAGAAAACATCCAGAAATGAATGAGATATAGGGACATGAAGTTAGAAACCTGAAAACGCGCAGGAAAACAGCTTCAAGAGGTCCAGAGTCCTAAATAAAATACATAAAAATATGATATCTTCAAGGACGACCCACTATAACAACGAACAATACATATGGAGGATTAGGATGTGATAATACAAAGGGGAATCAGGGAATATGAACGAAATTCACGAAAACCACTAAACTACGACGGACCATGGCGGGAATTTTAGGGAACGATATTCTAATGAGGTGGAGAGCTATAACACATTCGTTTGAGTAATTCTTGACTACTAGCAACTTTTTCTTTCAGTTTTAAACCTGAATAATTCACTCATTTACCATTTCAGTCTCATTTTAACTAAATGTCACTAAATAAAAATGGAATAAATCAGCTGAAGGTCTCAGCACAGCCGTACGCATAGTAATGCGAAGTTTGAATTCAGAATCATCGAGTCATAGCAAATTTAATGGTATATATAGGGAATTTGAAATAGGTAACTGCGGCAAATGCAGCGCAGCCAAGTTCTAATTAACCATTAAAATAGCTTAGGCGAGGGAGGACAATAAGGATTCTAGGTGCAGTCTGACCGCAGTAGAACTGCAGTTCAGCGCAGCAAAAGCGCAGTAGGACTATAGCGTGAAAATTTCATTTTTTATTCAGTTTGAGAAAAATACACTGTAAATAAATCCTGTAAATAGATGGTAGAGCATGAAAAAGGAAGGCGACCCAAGGAGTATAAAAGGGAGACCCTTTCTGTGACTTTTTGCCCCCCTGAGAGAAGTAAGAAAATAGAGTATTATTTTTCTCAAGCATTTCTGGTTGTCACTCCAGTGCGAAAAAGTGATATACAGTTAAGATTGCCACTGTAGTAAAAGGCAGCAATTAAGGAGAGAAATATTAAGTAGATATTTCAACAGGAGAGCTGGTTAACACTCCAGATTTCAAAGTGTAAACACAAAACAGTTATCTTGCTACCGTTAAAACAAGCAATAAAATAAGACAAAA